AAGAAAAAAAAGAGAAGAAAAATCACTAGGGATTAACTTTATATAATAGGGAGTATTTATTTACTCCTCCTCTCTTTCTTACGCGTTTTACGTATGTCTGTGATATTTTAAAGAGCAATGACTTTTATTTAATTTTTTATTATACATCACTTTTTTAGACATATGCTAAATAAGCTTGGTGGCGAGTCACTGCCGCGTCTCTTGATATCACTGTTTGCAACACTTGACTTGCCTCAAAAGCTTATCGAATTATACGGAGCTTCTCTACTATACAATGTATTTTTGCGTAACTTTTCTAACTATAAAAAAAGACAGGCGTATAACATAAAATTAAATGTTAGGTAAAAATCTTTTGTCTATTTTTTGTTATATAAAGTTATATGATTGTTCAGCGTGAATCAATATGTCAATAAGCGTATTGGTAAATTTATTTTAGTATATACAGGCTCTATTTAATTTCGCATTTGTTGTATTAGTGTTTCTAAACTTTAGCTTAATATTTTAAACAAAGACTACTTAGTAAAGTTTCTAGTGAGTTCATCTAGTGAGTTCATGGAATTGCTTATATAACTTATATAAACTTTTTCTCTTTGTATTTTAATATTATTAAAATTAATTAAAATGTTTTTTTATATTGGATCACCATTGAAACGAAGCTTTCTTTAAATTTTATTGATAGAAGAATTTTGTTAAACTTTGTATTGTCATTTTTATTAGTAAAATTGATTTTAGAAAATTCTAAGAAAAGTGTGATTTTATTAGCATATAGGACTTCATCAATGTCCAAATATTTATTTAACATCAAAATGAATTTCACTTTTAGCATTATAAAAAAGACAAACGATAGAAAATTTTGAACATTCCAAATTTGTGAAAAAATGAAATCATTAAAGAAAAATATATAAATCTTCTAGTGACATGTATATATATTTAGATTTCTATTGACATATTTTCAGCGCGTTCATTCGCACCGAATTATGAAAATAATACAATACAAAGTCGAGATAATTACATTCGTAATATCCTAGTGCTGTTATAATACAAAACACATTATATATGTAATTATATATCTATTGTTAATTGATCGATGTAATTCACATTTCTACAGTGTTTTCACAGTGAGCTATGTCGAGTGGATTTTTAAGCTTGCGAATGTTTGAAAAATCAGCAACTTTATCGCGCTTCTTCGAATACTGTTATAAAATGCAAAAGAATATTTATGGTGTTTTTTTCTCCATTTTGTTTCAGTAGTTATAAGTACATAAATAAGATGATATATAATTGCCTCTCTAATTTATCTATTTTTAATACAAAATATTCGTACAGATTGCGTACATTTTTGCAGAGATCTCTTTTTGAAATTATGTCTCTTTAAATTTCTCTTTAATGACAATAATATGAATACTTTGTGTCATTCTAATATATATATATATATATATATATATATTAGAATAATAAGCAATATATTATATAATACACAACCATTGCGCGCGTAACATTCTATGATTATGATAAGTATTACTATTTATATTTACATTTATTTGCAAAATGATGCAAATGTTGAGATTTTTTTCCATTATCTAGTCGCATTTTTTAACCAATTTCAATACTATAAACCGAATGTCGAACACAAAAATCAGAATAAATATATATGATAAACAACAATTATATAATATGTCCAGAAATAACAAATAAATATTAATCATTTTACAATCTTTGTTTACATTTATAATTTATAAACAATACCCTATATTATTATTGAAAATTTATTTAGATATAATAATATCTATATTCAGTTTATTTTGCCATGTAAAATCCTAAAATTAAATTCAATTAAATACGATATACGTGAATATATCGCGTAAAACGAATATGTAATTACTTACTAAGGTTACATTCTATTCGTATATTCACGAACAAGAAGTAAACCTCAAACTATCTGGAATTACTTGGAAAAGTCATATTGTCGATATTGGAATAAAGATTCTTTTGCTAGTTCAATGTATCTTCGATATTGCGTTGATTTCGAAGCATCTCCATCTTTGATTGTAAAATATTCAGTTGTTCTTGCATCGACGAACCAAAGTTTTTGCTTCGCGCGAGAACATCATTAGCGTTATTTAGTAATACTGAGTTTATAAGAGACGGCGATGTCGACGGCATGTCTAGTGAGATCGAAGAAATATTAATACTATTACTGTCACCATATCCTTCGTCAATACTCTCATCGGTTACTTTAGATACTGATTTTGATTGGTCCTGCAAATCCTATAAAATGTATAAAAAACTTTCTAATTCTACTAATAATATTGTTTTAATGATATATAAAAAAGTGATAGCATTATTTATATTAAAATATTTATATACAGCATGTCAGAGAAATTACCTTGTTCTTTGATATAATCTGTTTCAGATATTCTCGCAAAGAATGTTCCGTTTTGTTTTTCTGAAAAATTGGGAAGAATCCAATATAACGATCCCATATAAAAATAATATGATTATCTTATTGACTAAAGGTATAAAAATATTACCATATTATTAAGTTGGTCATTTGTCTGTTTGTAGTGGAGTTTCTGTTCCAAATTCTTTATTTTAGCCTTTTCTTCTCTGAGTTTTTTAAGGAGTGTGCTGTTCGCCTTATGCGATAATGTTTTCAAACGTTTATTCTCATTTGCGACATCCTGCATAGTACTTAATTTCTCCTCACATTCCACATTTTTGGATTTCAATAATTTGTATTGCGCAATCATTTTGGTTAGTTGTAATCTCAGATGAGATATCGCGTCTTCCACTTGACTCTGTTCTCGTTTAGATGCTAATAACGAAGTCTGAAGTGTCTCGTTCTTAGATCTCAACTTCTGCATCTCAAACTGCGTTTTCCGTAATAGGTCGGCAGTTTTGTTTTTCTCTGTCTCGCATTTCTGTATGTTTTCCTCCATGGACGAAATCAGGACGCGTTGCTTACTCAACGTGTTCTCCATTGACATTTTGGCTACCTCGTTGTTTAGCAGGCGTTGTTCCAATGTTTTCAATTCGGTTTTAGTGTTTCGCAATTCGTCCTCGGTCGCCTCCAACATCATAGACATATCTGTCGGACTTTCCATCAAGTTTTCATCTGTCTCTTGTACTGTGTTGATAGATCGGATATGCGATTGTAAATCCTTTATTGCATTCAGCATTTCTAGTTTCTCCCTCTGATACTGTTGCATAAGTTCAGTGTATTCGATACTCAGTTTTTTATAACTGGTATTTATATTTACTATTGCTTGCTGCCGTTGTTTCAATATATTCTGATATGTATCTATTTCCACCTGTAGACTCTTTTTGCTGGCTATCAAAATATGTACCTGAGATTGATACCATTTTGCAGAAGCTTCTGCAGCAGACAGACGATTATTGGTATCGGTTAATGTGTTTTGTAATTTCTGCTTATCCTGAAGTACTGTTTGCATCTCCACGAATAGCTCAGTTATTTTGCCTTTGAGACCTTGATTTGCAGCAATTCGAGCATTTAGATCAATCCGTACATTTTCTAGATCGACACGCAGTCGTTCATTCTCCAACTCCAATAGACCCACTCGTTTAGAAAGCTCAATATTAGAGACATCGGGTGTGGATAAATGTCGCAAATGAAATTCATCACTGATCAATTGAAGAGAGTCTGTGGAAGTTACAGACTCCAATTCCCCTCGGAATGAATCTGACAAATTGTCCATCATCTCAGTATAACAAATCAATATTTAATCATAAATCACCAATGTATCCATAGTGTTATACATTTTAATATTTAATCACAGATGATCACCTGAATAAAAAAATATATATATATATATGTGCGTGCGCGCGCGCGCGTGTGTGTGTGTGTGTATGTGTGTGTGTGTGTGTAT